ATGGACATCCTAGCCCTTCATATCTCTCCCCATGGACATCCTACCCACTACTCTGTGTGGCATACCTCCTAGGGACAACCTTACCCATAGATATCCCTCCCATGGGTATCCGTCCCCATGGACATCCCTTTCCCCATGGACATTCTACCCATGGACACCCCTCTCCATGGAAGTCCGTCCCATTAATGCTCCTCCCATGGGCAAACCTTCCCCATGAACACCCCTTTCCTAAGGACACCCTTCCCCACAGATGTTCCTCCTATGGGCACCCCTTCCCCACAGCCACCCATCCCCAGAGGCATCCCACAGAACCCGCCTGGTTCACATGGGTGCTGTGCCACACTTCTCAGCTCTTGCCCCAAATCCTCCGATTTCTGGCATTATTTTCCCATTTCCATCAGAGCCTGCATGTCAGCAGAGGGCACCCCAGCCCCACGCTCAGTGCTACATCACAAACACAAGGGGAAGCAGCACCTTAGGGCTTCCCCACCCCACAGCGGTGCCCAGTGCTGGTGAGACCAGAGACCCAATGTGTGGAGGGATTGATGGATTATTAATTATACACCATTAATTGAATTTTCCAATAAAAGGTTGTCAGGAGTGAGAGTCCTTTCTCATGTCCTGAGGGCTCACCCCGTATCCTTGACTCCACAGGGACCAGTGACATTGGAAGAGAGCACCCAAGGTGTTCTGCAAGTCCTCGCCAACCTCTCCACCAACAGCAATGGCACCTTCTGGGACTGGAAGGGACAGAGGCTGCCATGGTGACCACAGCATCCATGTCCCCAGCTGCTGAGCTCAATAAAAGCTGCTGATGGCTGCAGACAGGCTTGTTTGATGGAGTCAGGAAGCCCTATATGATGGGGCTGCCAAGCTGGCAAAGGGTTGGACTTGGAAAGGGATGGCCATGAGGATGAATGTCCATGGGGAAGGGATGTGCAGGGTGAGGGGTGTCCACAGGGAAGGATGTCCATGGGTGGGATGTCCAGGGTGTCCATGGGGAGGTGTATATGGGCAGGGATATTCACGGGGATGGTTGTCAAAGGTGAGGGATGTCCATGGAGAGGGATACGGATGGTGAGAAATGTCCATGGGGAAGGATAGCTACTGGGAAGGGTGTCCATGGGGGTTGACGTCCAGGGAGAGGGATGTCTGTGGGGAGGGATGTCCACTACATACGGCAAGGGATGCCCATGGGGATGAGCATCCATAGGAAAGGGGATGTCTCCATATGGGGAGGGACGTCCATCATAGGATGGCCACGGGGAGGGATGTCCACAGGGAGTGAAGTCCTTGGGGAAGGATGCTTATTCTATAGGGCAAACACAGACATCAGGCTGGATGGAGCCACCCACTGCTCTGAGCAGGAGCCCTGAAACCACAGCCCTCAGGCATCCCACAGCCCTCACCCACTGAGCCCAGCTCCCCTCATCAGGCATCCTGCCTGCCTGGAGCTGATGATGGTTTGTTCTCTGCTGTTCCCACCAGCAAACATTCTTCCCACTCCAGCATCTGTGAGGTTGCTTTTATTTTCAGCAGTCCCAGCTCGGGGGCGCGTGAGCATCCTCCCATAGCAAGTCAGGAGACGCAGAGACATCTCAAGAGGTTTCTCGGAGAATCGTGAGGCCAACTATTTGCCACTGGGATGCTCTGGGAAAGCTGGGGTCACAGCAAGACACGGAGATAGCCAACATCTGGTCCATCTGGAGTTATATATCCGAATTTCCTTCGTAAAGCCAAAGGGAGGGGAAAGGCTCGCCAAACGACGCGGCAAGCGTGATGGCTCTGGTTCTCTTTATTGCAGTTAAGATTTGAGCGCTAGGACGTTACTTGGTGCTTAATGAAAGCCAAGGGAGTGGGAATTAAAAAATTGTACAAAAGAAAAGGGAGCCGGCACTGCCATCACCCCCCACGTGTGCCTTCATCCTCCTCAATGGGTCGGCGTTAAGCAGAGTCCCACCGACCTGGGCAGAAGAGACGGAGGTCACAAGAGGAAAGGGACCACGGAGACCCCCGTCCTTCCCTGCTGTCCCTCCCCAGCACTCACAGTGAGCCCCGAAGAGCATCCGCAGGACCTTGATGCAGTTGTCCAGCAGCGCTTTGGGGCGCACGGCCTTGAGGCGGCTATCGCCGCTGTGCAGCTGCTTCACCAGGTCGGCCACCTCCGCGTCCACGTCGCTCTGCGGGGACATGGGATGTGGCACTGCCACGTCGTCGATGGGAGCAAAGAGTTTGGGGTGCTGCATTGGTCAGGAGTTGAACCCACATGACAGAGGAGGATTCTATCACTGAACAAGCAATGCCAGATGCAGGGCTCCCCACACTGCTGGCTCCCACCCAGGCAGCGTGTCCCATAAAAAGACCTCCAATATCACCCAAGCCCAACCGTCCTCCTACCAACAATATTTCCCCACCAAACCCTGGGCCAACAACCGGCCGGGGCGACTCCAGCGCACACAGATCCCGTTCCACGCGCTCAGTGCACCACAGCACCCATTTCCCTCCGCCTGAGAACCAGCTTGGTGAAGAGAGGCTGTCATTAGGCTTCAGAGTTAACAGGGTCCATTAGAACTCGCAGCCACCGCGTGGGTAGTGCTGCGCACAGCAGGGCTGACCCCCAGCACTGCGACCCACTGCCACCAACACCCCACGGCGTGGGGTAAAAAGGGACACTCTGGGCCTCTTCTGCTCAATCCAGAGAAGGGGGCAAAAAAAAAGCCCTGCTTTCCTCTGCATTGGCCGGGAATCGAACCCGGGCCTCCCGCGTGGCAGGCGAGAATTCTACCACTGAACCACCAATGCCAGATGTTTGGGGCTCTGCAGTGCTCACCCACGGGTTTTGTTGCACTGCAGCAGAGCTGGGGTGGGGGTGGCAGCAGTGGGGCAGGCACTGCTGGGACAGGAGGGGACTCCTGCCTCTGTGGCTAAACAGGTGCTGTCATTAGGTTTCAGAGTTAACACAAAAAGCTGTCAAGGGCAAAGAGGGGCAAAGAGGATGGTTCCCCATGGCCTGGGGAACGCAGAGAGAGGCTGTCAAAGAACGAGGGGGGAAGGGGCCAAGAAAGAAGTTTGCAAAAGCTTTACAACACTGCATTGGCCGGGAATCGAACCCGGGCCTCCCGCGTGGCAGGCGAGAATTCTACCACTGAACCACCAATGCCAGATGTGGAGCTCCTCCCTGGTGCTGCCCCACAGCCCCACATCTGGAGTCAACCTCACTGCAGGGCTGTGCAGGGTGAGGTGCACCCACATCCCCCTGCCCACACCATCCCCTACCTGCCAGTACCCACTGTACTCCATGCCCAGGGCATCCAAAAGCTGACTCAGCTCCTGCGTGTACCCACGGGACGGGTGCTTCTCCGGCAGCACCTCGAGGATGTGTAGCACTGCCTGGGAACAGGCGTGGAACCACAGGTAGCGCAGGGATGCCTCTGATACCTTTTTGTCACGCTGTGGGAGAAAGGGGGATGTGGTGGTGGGTGAGACCCTGGTGGCTGGAGACTCCCACCTCCCCTCCCTGCCCCCCACTGTCACTGAGTGTCCCCGACGTGAGCTCACCAGGCGGGTGATGTTGGCTGTCCGCAGCACCTCCTCGTGCTGCACTCGGAGAGTGTAGTCAATGGGGAAGTTGTGCTTCTGGAGAGGTGGAGAGGAGTGTGAGGGCCACCGGTGTCCTCAGAGCTGTGCCACCAGGGTCCTCATATCTGTGCCACCAGTGTCCCACCAGCAGTGCCACCAGGGTTCCTCCAGCAGTGCCACCAGGGTTCCTCCAGCAGTGCCTCCAGCATCTCCATATCTATGCTACCAGGGTCCCTAGCTGTGTCACCAGGGTCCCCGTATCTGTGCCGATTGAATCCCTATATCTGCATCACCAGGGTCCCTACACCTGTGCCACCAAGATCTTCATATCTGTGCCACCAGTGTCCCACTAACTGTGCCACCAATGTCCCACCAGCTGGGTCACCGGTGTCCCACCAACTGTGCCACCAAGGTCTCCACAACTGTGCCCACAGCGGGCACCCTGCTTTGGGGGCCGCCCCATAGGGTCACCAGAAAGTTGCTCTGACTGCACACCCCAATTCTGGGCACGGGGAACTTGGGGACATGTGGCAGGGTGGCAGGGCAGGGGACAGGGCCGTACCATGTACTGCAGGCGCCTCTCATACCGCAGCTTGTCCTGCAGCAGTCGGGCGAGCTCGCATTCCCCCACCGCAGCCACCTCCAGCCCCAACACGGCCAGGACACCTGCAGAGCAGCATCACCCCATGGGGACCCCTCCATGGGGACATCCGTTGCTCACCCCCTCCAGGGGTGTCCCCCCCATCTCCCAGTGATGTGTACTCACAGAGGACGGCCGCGCAGCGCTGGTACATGGTGACCAGCTGTGGAGCCTACATGGTTGATGGGTGCAGGTGGCCTCCTGGGTGCTTGAGATGGGCTGATAAGGGATGGTGCTCTGCGGTGGCCCCCGACGGCTGTCCCCTGCCATAGGGGGGGGGTCAGGCCCCCTCCCTGGCCACCACAGCTGGGTTGTCCTGTGGGGAGGTGGTGTGTCCTTGGGATATCACAACGAATGGGACAGTCCCATACAAGGTCCCTTGGGTGTGGGGTGGGAGCTGGGGGGGGAAGAGCCCCAGCTACAGCCTCCAGGACCCCAGGCGGGGTCACACGGTGATAGCACTGCACAGTGTCCCTCACAAATGGAGGGGTGGTGTCCCCATGGTCAGATGAAGGGGGACAAACCACGTCCCCAAGCAAAGAGACCACACAGCATCCCCATCCAAAGGAGGGGCACATCCCTGCACCACATCCCCACCCGGATAGGGCCAGCCTGTGTCCCCAGGCAGTGCCCTCTGCTAGGTCCCCATGTGTCACATCCCTGGGCCACGTCCCCAAGCAGAAATCATGCCATGTTCCTATACAGCGTCCCTATGCAGCACCCTGTGCCATGTCCCCATGTCCTGTGTCAGGTTTCCATGCCTTGTCCCCACTCAGCGTCCCCATTCCCACTGTCCCCTTACGGCGTCCCCGTTTGAGGGCTGTGCCATGTCCCCATGCCGTGTCCCTGTGCCATACCTCAGTGTCACACTGCCACGCAGGGTTTGGTGCCATGCTCCCCCACGGGCTCATCCTCAGCATCCCCCCACGCAGTGCACTCCACCAAGTGGTGGCCATACCGCTTCCCCACGCAGCATCCCGCTCCTTTATCCCACGCGGGGGGCCGCACCGTGTCCCCACGCGGTGTCACATTCCCAGGTGAGGGCTGTGCCACGTCCCTGTGCCATGTCCCTTATGCCATGTCCCCGTACGGGGGCCACACCGTGTCCCCGGGTAGCGGCGCCCACGCGATGCCCCGTCCCCACGCAGCGTCCCCGTGCCGTCTCCATGCGCAATGTCCCCACGTGGTGGCCGCGCAGTGTCCCTCGACCTCCAACCCCCCTCCTTCTCGTCCCGCCGCCCCACTCGCGGTGCCCCGCGGACCCACCTGGCTCTGCGCTCCGGGCCGTCTCCCCGCGGGCGGTGGCGGCGGCGACGGGGCCGGGAGGCGGGCGGGGGGCGGGCGGGGCGGCGGCAGGGCCGGGCCGGGAGCGGGGAGCGGCGGCGGGGGCGTGTAATGTTGGGTTGGGGGTGGGGGCACGGAGAGAACCGCTTGGGTGCCCCCCCCCCTCGCCTGCGGGGTGAGCGCAGAAACCGACCGTGCCCCCGAACCCCCGCCGGCACCTCGGGGATGCTCGGCCGCCGCTGCCCTGGGTGGGCTCGGATGGGCTCGGATGGACGGCACAGCCCTTGCGGGATGTCCCGAAGGTCTCCCACTGTTCAAAGGGGCGCACGCCGATCTGAGCCCACCCCCCATCCCAAAGCCTTTAGGACAGTTGGCGCAGGGCCGCCCGGGGCGCGGGGGGGAGGAAGGAGGCACCGAACTCAGGTCAGCGCTCCCAGGGAAAGGCGTGGGAAGGAATGCGCGGCCGCCCGCGAGCAGCGCTGGGATTCCCCTGGCACCACGTCAGGGCCACGGCGGATCCGCTGCCAAGCAGCCCCGGGCACAGCCCCCGCGTCCCCTTCCGGCACCGCGAGCTGGGCTGCAGGAGAGGAGGAAGGACCCCGGTCCGCTATCCAGAGGGATTTCACCAGCATCCGCGGCGGGCTGGGAGAAAGCCGTCCGACTGCATTCCCTGCCCGCCGCTGGCGCTGCCCCGAGGCGAACCGCCTGCGGCCCCGGGCGGCGCTGCCCAGGACCGACGGCGTCTCTGGGCGCAGAGCAGGGCGCGGGCAGAACGCGCAGCAAACCACCTCCCGTTTGGAAAGCCTGGATGCACGACGGTCTCCGGGCAGGGTAAGCAGCGGTGCGCAGGGTGCTGGGGGTGAAGGGCGCAGCGCTGCCTCGTCCCGTGCCCCCCATCCTTAAGCAGGAGGCCAAGAAGGGCACCAAGGATGGGGCAAGAAAGCCCCCAGCCCGCCTGCAGCCCCCGGGGTCAGCACAGCTGCCGTGCAGGAGCGAGCCCCGGAGCCAGACTAGTTAAAAAACAGGCTTTTATTCTTCGTGTGCTACTCGGTCACAGCTTGGAGACACTGCTCTTGCCAAAGTTATTATGAAACAAATCAAGTCCCAGACTCAGGCCTTGCTCTTCCCCGCCCCCAAGAGACAACATTGTACAAAACTCTTATTTACAGAGAAAACAGTCAAAAATGGTGAATCTAAAACTCGCTCAGAAGGCAACACCGGGGACATGCATGGCAGTGCAGCCTCCCCCAGCCTCACCTCCCCCACGCTGCTCCCAGGGCTGGTGGAACCCCACACCTCTCCCCACCGACCCCTGAAAGGAACCCAGCAGCTTTCCATCAGGCCCAAGCTGTTTCCTTTACCGAAAAGATGGGGAGAACCCAGCTGGTCCTGCAGGTCTCAGCCCGATCCGTCCTCAGGACAAGTGACCCTTGGCCTCCTTCGGCCTTCAGGGTGAATGACACTGAGGAGCTGATCCAGGGATCAGCCGAGGGGTCAAACCACATCCTCCCCTGGGCATTTCCCAAGAGAGATTCTCTCTGGCTGGAACCCAGGACAGCACGAGCCTTCACGTAAGCAGTGGGATGTGTTGGAAGACCTACTATCAGATACTGGCATTTACCGGAGGAATCGCATTGCTTTGAAACATGAACCAAGAGGAGCAAATCAGTATTTAGAAAAAGGGAAACAAAACACACATTCCTCCTCCCAACTGTGCTTGGAAGAGCGTCCATAGGAGCCCAGCAAGAAGCTCTGCTCCTGCCAGCTGCCGCTCAGAAAGCATAGCGTGTGCGGATGTCTTCCAGCTTCTTGGACACCTCGGGTGGGGTCCGGTCCAGCTCTTCGGCCACATTCTTCTGCTTGTTGGGCTCCATGGAGTTGAACTGCTCACACAGGTCCCCATCGATCACATTCTGGAGAAGCAAGGAGGAGAGCATTGAATCGACACAGCACAGAGGCACTGAACCCTGCCTAAAAGGGGAAAAATGGCAACAAACAGTTTGTTCCCAGGAGGTTCTTAATCCCGTCCTGGAAACAAGAGCATGCTCAGTGACCTCATCTGCTGAATAGCAGCAGTTAGCATCAAACTAATTACTGGCCAGCCTGATTAATGAAGGAGAAACCCAGAAAGCCTTGGATCAGCTGAAGAATCACACAAGGGAAGACGGATCCGACGGGTCAGAGCGCCTCAGCTAGCAGAGGGTGCAGGTAGAGCACAGGCAAGGCTGGAGGCTGCACAAGGTGAGCAAAAAGCAAGCTCCATCACTGGTGTCAGAGCTCTCAGAGCCCTGCAAGCTCACCAAGCACAAGCACACCCTTCTCTGCTTGGACAGAGAGCAGCAGTAGCTTCTATTACCGCCAGTCACTATTAGCAGGCTTTCCCAGCCACCTTGTGCAAGGCCTGTGAGGTTCCACATCCCACAGCAGAGCTCGTGCGACCAGCTGAGCCCAAGCACTCGGATTTACCTTCACTGGGAAGTAGTAGGAGCGGAAGCTGAGATGGTCTCGCCCACAGAGAGGAGGATGCTCAGATCTCAAGTGCATTTCCACGTGCTGGAAGAAGTCGTGATCCTGAGGAGGTGAGGAGAGGTAAGAGAACAGCTCGTTAGAAAGCAGATCAGCCAGCAGTGAGGCACCGAGTGGCTGAGCACCGCCCCTAACAACAGCTGAGGCTGGGGGCTGTTTTGCCCTCCCCAGCTCCGTGCTGCAGCTGCAGCAGTAACTACAGCAACTGCGGCACCTCAGCCAGGATCAGCCCCCAGAACTGGGGCACGCAGCAGCCAGGCACAGAGGTGCAGCTCTTGATGTGCACCGACCCAGGAGGCCGAGCAAACGGGGCACAGAACGCTGCCTTTGTGACTGGAAGCACCAGTGGCTGATGAGCAGGGCTGGTGGGCTCCTGCACCGAGCAGCCTTGATGATTTCACTGATCAGACCAAGTCCCCCCAGAGCTACTTCCCCAGAATGCGAGCAGATTTGCAGCAGCAGCGCTACAAGAAAAGCTCATTAACTCCTGCATTGGTTTTGAGAAGAATTAAAAGCTCCCTCTTTTCTTCCCTGCATCCTCTCCTCTGAAGGGATGTATGGGAAGGGAGGGGAGAAAGGAATGGATGGGAGAGGAGAGAGGAGAGAGGAGAGAGGAGAGAGGAGAGAGGAGAGAG